AAAGCAGATAGAGTGACTCAGGCTGCTGGCATGCTTGCTGTTGCACTTGTTGTTCTGTTTAAATACACTAAACCAGTGGGAGCTTCACTGGCGAGATTATCTGGTATCTGCCATGTTCATGAGAACAATAGATTTTTCTATTTTATTTATAGACTGACGAGACTGTAAAGGCTTGTTTAGTAATCGTTGCTCAGACTTCACTTCACTCAACCACCTCAGAAGAAACAGCAGAGACAATTTTGTTAAAATCCAATCCCCCATCCATGGAGTGGATGCATGGAGCAGATCGCTGGGTGTCCCACCTCCAGATAAGAGCACTCTCCTCCATCTTGTGATGGGACTAAGTTAGTTCCTATGCAGTTAAGAAACGAGCCTACAACTGTTTGTGCAAGAAAATTAATTAATGCCTGTGTTACAAGTTGGGCTGGTAGGCAGTGTTCTCCTGCAGGGGTGCCAGGCATATGCACCCAGACAATTCACCTGGCCCGCTGCCTGTGCTTATCCAAGCAGCCCTCAAGAGGATGAATGAAATCCTATTGCACAGGCGCTGCTCTTGCAGCAGCAGCATGCTGCAAGCCTCCTTCTTTCGTAGGTTCTCTCCAAAGCCATTAAGAGCTGGAAGCAGATGTAAGCATTGCAAAGCATGCATGCAATAAGACCGACCGGTGCTTCCAAGGAATGCTGTGCCTCTCCCAGGCGTATGCTATAGACAAGCAGTGCTTTAAGGAGTTTGTTAGCAATACTAAATTGCCCTGAGGTAGTAAAGACAGGATTCACAGGAGGGGTTGCTGAAGGACCTATTGATACAGAGCAACTGAGAGGTAAAGGTGAAATTCAGAGTGGGTAAACATAAAGCAGTGCATGTGGCAAACCAAAGCAGGGGGGCACAACCCAATCCTGACTTTCTGTACACAATGACATTCTCTGAGCTGATAATGCTATCACTCAGAAACAGATCTGGGGATTATCAGAGGGTGACCTACGAAAACACCTGCCCAAGGCTCATGAAGCAGGGGAAGTAAAAGCAATAATAGGATTTATTAGGAAAGCATCATTATGTCATTGTATAAATGCACGCCTCATTTGCATCTCAAATATTACGTGTCACTCTTGTTCCTCCAACTGAAAAGGGATATAGGAAAAATATGTACAAATAAAGGCAATAAGGATGAATATAAATATTCATCAGTTCCATAGATGCAGCAGTTAAAAACAGAAAACAGACTGGTATGTGCGAGTGGCTGAAATGAGAAGAGGCATACAACCAACCCTACAGATGAGGAATTGCAGGACAATCCATTTTCACTCTCTTTTCCAGGAGAACAATCAGGAGACTTGCATGAAGCCAGCAGGTAGTGGTTTCAAACCAACCAGAGGAGGTGGATCTTCACAGTCTGCTAACCTGCTATTAACCCCTGCAACTCCTTTTCAATGGACATTATGGAAGCTAGAAGTTCAAAAAATAACTAGTACTTCAAAAAATAACTAGAACCTTCTTCCACCAATGACAATTCATTCAAGGCTATTAAACACCAGGGATGTGCTACCAATAGTTTATACAGAATCATAGAATGGTTTGGGTTGGAAAGGACCTTAAGATCATCCAGTTCCAACCCCCTGCCATGGGCAAGGACACCTCACACTGGACCAGGCTGCTCAAGCTCCATCCAACCTGGCCTGAGGTCTCCACACAGCTTCTCTTCTCCAGGCTGAACAGCCCGATTTTCTTAGTCTGTCTTCATGAGGGACTTGGTAGCTTATTTTGCCCTCACAACTTCTTTTGGGCATTGGCTTCTTGCCTAGTGGTATGCGGACCTCTGATGTGATGACTCTCAGCCAGGGCTGGGTGGGAGCGGTGCACCCAGATACCCCCACACCCGCTCACCAGCGCAGCAAGGAGAGGCTGTTGCACAGCAAAGCATCGCACCCGCTGCTCGAGGGCAAGCTCAGTCCGCTCCAGCCCGGGTTGGGTTTAACCCCTGGGGAGCACACAGACGGGCCG